CAACCTCACTGCATTCCCAATCTTGTCCATGACATGTCGTACTGTAGCTGCAGAGTGGGCATGGTCTCTCAGCAGAGGTAGCATTGTGGATACTTTGTACAAGCTTTGAATTCAGGACCCCTCTTCTTGTCTGTGTGATGGGAAGACCATGTGATATTTACATTGTCATGGACATCTGTGATGGAGACTTTCTGGGCCATTCATACTCCAAAGTCAGCCTTGGTTTCAAAATCTCCATGTTTGTTAGAGTCATGTTAGTCACTTGAGGAGGATATGGACTCTAATGGGTGAAGCCGTCAGGTTTGATGTTCACATAAAAGTCTGGAAGTCTTCACCATGACACCCCTTACTTGCTGTTTCTCCAGCTGTTCTCCCTCATTCTCAGAAGTGGGGTGCAGGAACAGTGATAAACTTATACCATGGAAGGATGTTGTTGATGTAGTAGCAGATAGATTGTGGTCTATATTGTCCATGGCCGAAGTGGTGAACAGCCCTCTTCGCAGCTCCAGGGGGCAGACGACTCCATTTCTGATGTACTAGTACTAAATCTCCAGCACTCGGTCATAGGATATGCTTAATCCATTCGCATGGAGCATCTGTACGAGCGTTTTCATCCTGGTCTTTGCAAACACTGACAGACCAATGTGGATGGGGAATGGAGTCTCTCGATCCTTTGAGTGTCTGTGGTTAGCGGCACCTTCTTTGAATCTATCATAGCAGTTTAAATCACTTAAATTGTTATATGTTCAAAAAACATATTATAAAGGTGGTGATTATTATGTAAGTATAACAAAAAATAATATGTAAATTTGGATTCTTCATGGTTGATCACATGTATTTTGACACCAAAATCATATAATTTAATTGCCCTATTGCCTCATGCTGTGTGACATTATTTGGTTTCGCATACCAACAATGGCGGCCATCTTGAAAAAATGGAGACCATTTTGAAAAAATTGCATGATAAACGTTCGATCATGAATACGCATGTCATAATGGATATGTATGCCAATGTTGGTGCTTGTGTGACGATGTGAATGATTCGGCTGATTTTTGCTCTAAGCTGCCCCATTATATGAAAATTTGAAGGCAAAACGTGTCACAGTTTTTATGCAATACTCTGTGGAAAAAGGTCTGATATACAGAGTCAAAAAGTACACAAAAAGCAAAGAAAGGAAGTGCATTCAAATTTTGCACCTTCTTACATGGTTCACGAATGTAGCTTTCTTTGCTCTAAATTTAGGCTTGCACTTCTGGTCATAGTCTGTTTCAAACGAAAAATGGTTACTCCTCATTAGGTTATAGTCTGCTTCACTCAAAAGTAGTGTTTTCGGTCATGAGAGCAAAGTTTTCCATACTGATACTGTAGGTGGGTTGGAGCGTTGTGCGCGCATTCTGATATTATTGGCGTTAGGGCTAGGTGAGTTAACCTCTAGGCTACCCCTAGTGGGTCGGGGGGATATAAATAGACCCACTGCTTCGCCTGCAGAAGGTGTCACCCCCTCAAAGGCGAAGTGTCGCACACGGACCCCAGCCCTCTTCTTCTTCTTCTTCTTCTTCTTCTTCTTCTTCTTCTTCTTCTTCTTCTTC